ACCGACAAAAGTTCTACCGTATTGTCTCATCAGTGATTTCTCATGCAACTAAATAACATATAGCATTAAAAACCGATACCCACTGTCTAAATCTATTTCTAGAGTTTAGAACCTAATAGATGTTGATCCTAAATCTAAATCTGAAGAGTATATGTCTATAGCAACTCAAATCCAAAAAAAGAAGCAAGTAAACAAGGATAACATTGATATAGATTTGTAAAATAAATCTTATACAATGCCATGATCAATACATATACACAAAATCAAAGTAAGTTTACAAATAAACCCCAACAATGATGAATACAAAGAGAAGAAGGAAGATGAACCGACAACTCTCGCGATGTCAAGACAATTGATACAAATCCAACTCTGGATCATCAAGATGCAATCTCTAATATTGTTTTCTAAGTCTCTATACTCAAAGAATAGTTCTGATGGAAATGGGAGTAAAAAGCCCCAAAACCATAACCGTAAAAGTTATGAAAGAATGAATAAATAGTTAGTTAAAAAGTAGAGTCGTGCTAAGCCTGTGTAGAGGGTGCTTAGCACGAGCATGAAAAATGGTGGTTGTGCACTTTAGAGCCAACTCAACATGGTATTTTAGGCTCATTGCACTCAACATATAAAAAATGATGCTTCTGCCTTGTTGTGCTGAATCATGCTTCAACTTGGGCTCAGCCCGCTTGACAACACTTTATTCTAAAACTTGCACAATTGAAGCCATGCTTTGCCTTTGATTCCAATGCTTCAACCATGCATGAATACCTACAAAAAATGAGATAAAAACAATCTATTGATACAATATTTACATGAAAATGCGACTATACACAATATATATACATATTTACATATAAATTGAGCTTTATTTAAGGAATTCCAAAAAAACAAGTCAATAAGTGCCACACAACTATACACAGGTTTACTATAATTTAACACCAATCAATGACACCCAAACAATGAATGATTATATATACTTTTTTGTGTGTATGCATATATGAGAGGTTGAAGATGATGAGCAATATTTTTATGCGTTTATAGTTTCATTAACTTAGAAATGATACATGTATGAAGTATTTATATGTGTGCAAGTTGGAGGCAAAAATGGAGGCTTAAAAATTGAAAAGAAATGCAAATTTTATATAAAAAAATTACAGTATGTGTTGACACATATAAGTCATGTGTCAACACATGTAATGATATGTGTTGACCTATTTAAGGTCATATGTCAACACATGAAAACAAAAGCTCTTTGTGAAAGACAACACTGCACCTAAGGCACATCATAACCTCTGACTTCTTGAGTTTACAGGAGTTGAGAAAGTAGACCAAACCTTCTTCAGATCTGGGATAAACCGCCTTCATCTGACTTTCACTACTTTCTACAACATATCTTCCTTAGCCTCCCTATCAAAATATTTAGTAATTTAGACCATGTTGATCTCGACTGATCCAGTATAGTGGGATTTTTTAATCAACAATGGGGTTGGAGTCCATTTTTATTGGTGTCTTTCCCTTGTTAGCAAATTTGAGCCTTCATTCCTTCAAAACATTATGGACAAGATCCCTAAAAATAAAACACCGAGAAGTTTTATGACCCAAAAACTTATGGTATTTGCAAAAACTTATTTTCTTTATTTGTTCCAATGGTGACATTTTTGCGCCTTGTGGCACTAAAATTTGGCCATCTGAAACCAACAATTCAAATATTTTGTCGCATTTGGTATCATAAAAAATGTAAGTTTTATTTGGAAAATTGTCATTTCTTTCGGGCTCGACAGGGTTCTTCCCCTTTACTGGTGTAAGAAGTGTACACACATATGTGGGTCTTGGTTTTAAATCGACAAGGTTGACCTCATTTCCTTTGACATGATTATATTCGACGTCTGACCCTTGGTTATTTTCGTCCATGTCGACATACACCACTCTTTATTTTTTTACTTTCTTTTGCCCTAACCTTCTCTGCTTTTAATCATTCGACTTGTGGAACCCAATCCTCTAGGTGGGTCGTATCCCTTAGAAATTGGGTACCCAATTTCTTTATGATGGGATAATCTGAGCCCCCAACAACCATTTCAACTAGTACGTGTTTAGGCACTTGAGTAAAACACCTTGCTTTCAACAATTAGAACCTATTGAGATAATCATCAATTGACTCAGTGAACTTTCGCTTCACGCTTGCCAATTCTTTCAGGCTAATTTTAGATTTCCCCATGTAGAATTGTTCATGGAATAACCTCTCAAACCGATTCCAAGTATAAATGGAGTGCGCAGGGAGTGTTATGAACCACATGAAGGCATTATTTGTGAGAGAACTATGGAAGTATCTCATTATTAGGTTTCCATTATTTGATATATCTCTGGCTTCAGTAAAGTTTCGAGCGATATATTTGATTGTAGAATCACTAGTGTCACCAGTAAATTTGGTGAACTTATGAACTTTCCAACCCCTTGGTAGTTCTATTTGTAATACATATTATGACAAGGGGATGTATAATTTGGCCTATGCAGGAACACAGTTAACCCATTTTTGTCCATGATTCTTTCGACCGTGGTTGCTAAATTATCTTGTCCCGCCATATTCTCTTGTCGGACTTGGTGGACGACTCTATCAGTATCATGATTTCTATTAACTACTAGGACGGTTGGATTTATCAGTTTGACATCTCTGGGTCTTTATTATTCGACCACTTGGGATTGAAATTATTGACCATGATTGACTCTATTTTTCTCATGGATTACCCCTTCATTCTGGGTCAGCCTAGCTGTCTAGGGGTGTACGATCGGTTGAACTTGCACCTGAGGGGCGCCGAAGAAATCAGCATTTTGAGTCACTTGATTCGCCAATTATTGGTAATTATGATTCATATTTTGAATCAAAGGGTTGAATGTAACTCCTATTTATCGGGTGAGTAGGTTGACCATTTCATGGTTTCTCTCATCCATCTATTATCTCGTCACCATGATAAAGTTTATGGTGAAGGTTGCCATCGCTTGAGAATCGAATCTCATTCCTAATTAGGGAGAATCCCATTCATAATTAGGGTTGTGCGATTCGACCATGATTACTTATAGCCGATCCTGATGCCAATAGTGGCGAATATGCAATTGTCACGTTATCAGCAAATATTAACACATTAGTCTGCAAGTCTGCTATCATTGATGTTGGCATGCCATAAGACTGTTCGCGACTAGACATATGCATTGTGAAACTTAGGGCATAAGGCCTAAAGTCACTTGCCACGGTTGGTCTCAGAGTCATAGGGATACTTTGCATTATTGACATGGAAATTATCACCCCTTCTTGCACAATCGACGATATGATCGTCGTGCTCGTTGTTGAGGCATTTGCTTCAGTCGAAGTTGCAGTGACCGTATTGAAAGTTGAACGCAGTAAATGAAAAATCAATGAAAAGTAAAAGAAATTGAATTTATAAATGGAACACAAATGCATACATTGATTCCAATAACTTTTTTTTCTCTTTTAACACTTGGATACTTTGACTACATAATTTGCGTAAAATTGGAGACCTCTAATCCTACCAACACGAACTACTTATATACTAGTTCTAACATAACTGTCACCAACAGTCGACTAAGTAACGTTCGACACGTCTTTGCCTCCATGCAACTTTCATCTCTGATAGACTTCCACGTGTCTCTGACAACTGTATGACTATGATCTTATCCATTTGCATCTTACTTCGACATACTTACATCAATAGTCGTAGCATCAAAACTGAAAAGTTCTCCAGATTTTACTAAGTCTCCAAAAACATGAAAACTACCTCACCTTTGACTAAAATCTTGTTTATTATTCGCCTTTCGACCAAAAATCCCAATTATATGATCGAATATAACCTACTTGACTGGAGTGCACCTCAAGTCGATTTTATTATGGCTGTAAGATTATCTTTAATTCTTCCAACCATGTTGTGTCGAAAATATGAGATAACACCGGGACACCCTCTAAATCTTCAACTAGACCATGATTGTTAATATCATATATATGATTTTTGTGTTCTAACTACAACTACTTATACAAATCCCAATCGTAAGGGACACTCAAATCTTCTACTACAAATAACTTACAAATTTTCTTTATTCTTGTAATTTTCTTCCATCTCACAACCAAAACTCAATTTATTACTCTTGCCTTTTAACTTATGAATGATAACTACAATAATACCGTGTTATCGTCCAATATATTATGTCCATGATAACACTTCTTCATAATAACACTTCAATTAATTTTTTAAAATAGTAAAAATTTAGACATGTAAATTATAAAAAAATTGTCTACATATATTAAAATTTTGAGGGGTAAAATTTGTTAGGAAACAAACTATTTTTCATATAACAATCGTTGTTGTTTTTTTCTCTCACAAGAATCTAACTATCATTACTGATTTTATAGATATTTCATATCTTTTCACACTATTTTTGTTTACTTTACTGTCCTATGAAAATTACTATACAACTGTCAAGAAATAAAAAAAAAGAAAAGAATTTACTGCTACTATAGAAGACTAATTGGAGCGAACCCCTTCAATAATATATAATTGAACCTGATTTATCGGAACAGTAACACTAATCCATATTTTTTATTTTCTTCTCTTTCTCCTCGAACCTTCTCTATCTCTTTCTCCCTTATTCGCTCTATTGCATCGCATACCTCATTTGATCGTGCCTTCTCTTTCTCGCAATTTCCCTTTCAATATCCAATTTCATCATCGCTAAGGTAACCCCTTTCAATTTCTCTATCGTTTTCCCCCTTTCTATCCTTTCCTTAATTCCTAGGGTTTCGATTCTAATCCTTGACATCTAATTGTCGTCGAATTTCACTTTTGTTTTTCAATTTTGAAATTTGGGTTATTCGTTGTGTTTTGGGGTTTAGGTTTAGGGTTCTGATAAACAAATACAAAAAAAAGACAAAAAAAGTTTGTTGAGAAGGAGGGATTAGGGTTTTCCCTTAGAATTTATAATTTTAGATAGATAGATATATGGCTGCTGGTAGACATGGTCGTTATCACGAAAACGAGTTTAAGGATCATGAGTCCAATTTGGAAGTTAATAGGCGCGGGTTTTCGATTTCGAAAGAGTATGATCGGGTTAGGAATGGTGGTCATGATGATGTCAGGAGTGGGAGTAGAGATTCCAGAGATAAGATTAGGATGAGGCAGAAGGGTGTTAATGAGAGAGAAGCTGTTGTTAATGGAAGTTACCGGTCAGCTTCCAGCCGGAGTGACTCCGGCAGCAGTGGCAGCCTTGGCCCTCGTCCCTGTGGTTTTTCTGCAAAGGCAATTGATAGAGAGCCTGGTGAGCTTTCCAGTGAGAGCGGGTCTGATGGTGCTACTGAATCTGAGACTGGGGTGAAAGAATGTGAGGTTGCTGTGTTTGAAGGGAAGAGGTCACAGTCACCTCCTCCCCAGGAGAGGAAAAGGAAATTTTCACCCATTGTGTGGGATCGGGATGACAAGGAGGTTAAGGGTTCATCTAAAGTTAGGGTTTCCACTACAACCGTGATTGCTCTCCCTCCTCTGCCTCAGTTGTCAAAACCGTCTGTTCTGTCTCCGAATGCTTCTTCTGGTGAAGTTCAAATACGTTCTGTTGGGAACAGAGAGACTGGGGATCTTGAATTGCCCGCAGAAGCTCAGGTTACTGTTCCTTCTCCTTCCAGATTGCAATCCTTGTCACCAAAAGAGACTTTGGGTAATGATCAGGAAGCTGAACAACCAGAAGGTGAAGATTATGTTTCAACTCGTAATATATCATCTTCTAGATGGGCAGCAGGAGATAACTCTCCTGTTGACGAGGGTGAAATTCTCTATGATGAGGAAATGCCTAAAAGGAAGAGGAGGCTAACTCCTGAGTTGTTGGAGACTAGAGTGAGGAATAAGTTATTGAGCCCCAGTGATTCTAAAATAGGTAGTTTTGAAGGAGCTAGAGCCAAATCATCTGATTCGGAAGAAAGAAGTGTTATTCATGGGAGAACGTCTAGTGGCGATGGACATCCTGGTATTGAATCAGAAAAGGATGACTATATGGACATTGATGTTCGAGGTACGAAAAGTGACGCCAGTATTAGTCACTCCGGTACAGAATCTGAAGATGACGATGATAGGCAGGAGACTCCAGAACCTCCAGCTCAACCTCAAAGAACTGTCAACATGCTTCAGGGTTGTAGAAGCGTGGATGAGTTTGAGAGACTTAACAAGATCGATGAAGGAACATATGGTGTTGTATATAGAGCTAAAGATAAGAAGACGGGGGAAGTTGTAGCATTAAAGAAGGTCAAGATGGAGAAGGAAAAAGAAGGTTTCCCACTGACTTCTCTTAGAGAAATAAACGTTCTTCTCTCTTTTCACCACCCATACATAGTTGATGTCAAGGAAGTAGTGGTTGGAAGTAGCCTTGATAGTATTTTCATGGTTATGGAATACATGGAACATGACCTCAAAGGATTAATGGAGTCAATGAAGCAGCCGTTTAGCCAAAGTGAAGTGAAGTGCTTAATGATCCAACTTTTAGAAGGTGTGAAGTATCTTCATGACAACTGGGTACTTCATAGGGATTTGAAGACTTCAAATCTTCTTCTAAATAACAGGGGTGAGCTAAAAATTTGTGATTTTGGGTTGGCTCGTCAATATGGGAGTCCTTTGAAACCATATACTCACCTGGTGGTTACTCTTTGGTACAGGTGAGTTGAATTTACTTACTGCATTCTGTGCCTGTCTATCAATGTATATATCATTTACATATATTGGATGAATTGATATTGCACCATTCAGAGCGTACTTTGATTGTTAACTTGTGAATTTGATACCATGGTCATGCGTGCTGCATTGAGTGAAACTTATTCTTCATTTGTAGTTATTCTGCAATTAATAACCAAATATTAGTGTTGCAAACTGGCGGCTATTACTTACCCCGTCCTTCGACAGTTAGGTCAATGTTTACATACTTACCCTTCCTTTTTATATGTGGCAATGTTTTCAATGAACATACCTTATCTGCTCCTCTTTTTAGTTTTTCATTTCATTGCGCTGCTAGTTTAATTAGTTGTACTTGCCTCCAATTGTGTGTTTAACCTTTTTTTTTTCTGCATTCTGCTGCAGAAATAAGAGGTCATTTACCTGATGGTTGTCTATCTGTTTCTCAGGGCACCTGAACTTCTTCTTGGGGCAAGACAGTACTCAACAGCTATTGATATGTGGTCTCTTGGTTGTATAATGGCCGAACTATTGTCTAAGGAACCACTGTTCAATGGAAAAACAGAATTTGATCAACTTGACAAGGTATGCTAATTGTCAATTATTTGGTAGAACACATGCTCTTATTTTTCTATTTCTTGTCAATTTTGTTGTCTTGTGCCTAACCACTTTTATTTTATTAGTGGTTGCTGCTATTTTGACATCTGTTATTTTCCCCCAGATTTTCAGGATACTTGGCACTCCAAATGAAGCAATTTGGCCAGGCTTCTCAAAATTGCCCGGAGTCAAGGTCAATTTTGTCAAGCACCAGTAAGTACTCATGATATCCTTTATTGAAGACATTGATGTTTTTATTACACTGTTCTTATTTGTCTGCCACTGTTTTCCCAGGCTTCCAACTTTGGGTGGTTTTGGTCTGACTATCTGGCCTCCCTTGGTGACTTGTACTGTTACACAACTTTCATAATTTCTATTAACAACCAAAATGTCCCTTTCAGGTATAATCTTCTGCGTAAAAAGTTTCCTGCCACGTCATTCACTGGATCTCCAGTTCTTTCTGATTCTGGATTTGATTTGTTGAACAAGCTTCTAACTTATGACCCTGAAAAGGTAAAGGTTGCTTGAGCTTCATAAATTAATTTCCTAAAAATTCTGTCTCATTATTAAGAATAACACCTACTACTGTATGCAGAGGATCACGGCTGAAGCCGCTCTCAATCATGAATGGTTTCGTGAAGTTCCTCTTCCCAAGAGCAAAGAATTCATGCCTACATTTCCCGCTCAACATGCTCAGGACAGGTATTTGATCTATTGGAAAACTACTGGGGCTATTTGTTTAAGGAATTTTTAACATAGACTGTCCTTAATGGCGAATAGAAAAGGACAGCTGTGGCAGGGTGTTGGTAGCCACTGTTAATATCCGTTGAGTCTTTATAATATTGTTTATTTAACAAAATTCATTATGTAAACAGGCGGATGCGTAGAATGTACAAGAGTCCAGATCCTTTAGAGGAGCAGCGACGGAAGGAGTTGCAGCAGGGTGGCTTGGGCACTGGTGGAGTTTTTGGTTAAGATTAAAGTTATTTAAACCCATGTCTCAACAGTCACTCTAACATTCCACACTGAAAGTTTGCATTGATGAGGTGAGAGCATGCACTGAACGGAAGTTGCAAGCTTTGTTTGTTAGACAATCACTCATGCTGTTTTTTAGCAGGAACTTGTTGGTTTGAACAGAGATGTAATGTATTCTTTTACCTCCTGGAACCAGAATTTTTCAGGTTAACATTCTTCATGCTTGGTCATCTTATAGAAATACATCTGTGACATTTTGCCGCTCATAGTGTGGCATAACCTTCTGAAATTAGGAAGTCAGTGTCTGTTGAATCTTGTGTATGTAACATATTTTCATTTCCATTTCCATTTCATTGGCATATTGTAAACAAATTTTATCTGGTTGAGTATTAAAGCTATATGGATTTTCTAGCAGCTATCAGTTATTTCTCTTTCTCCTTTTTTAATGTTCACATTGTGTATGCAAGAGGCGGTTGGTGTGAAGTGGAAGAGGGTCTTCTATGCATTTCATTGGAGAAAATTACAGGGGCTTTATTATGCGTGAAAGGTAATGCATTCCTATGATATCTTGGATATTAAGGAATGAGGATATCAATATGTTTCTGTGGGATAGAAGAGAGACATTGATATTTATTGATGAGTCTTTATTGGAGAGGGTTTGAATCCTGTGTATTTTTCTTCATCATAACTGCTACTCCACACACACTATTGATCTATTTGGATGTCAACAGTTATATCAAGTATTTATGTGAACTTAGTTATGTGGGATGCATGATTTGCAATGATTTATTAATTTTTGGTAACAAGACAAATTTATTTCAAATTAATCATTGCATTTCTGGATTTTAAGTTACAGCAGCTTCTCTTTTTTGTGTTGAATAATGACTACCTCTATTAGAAAATTCAAATTTTAATTTTCAATTGAATATGATGCAATTTGTTCATTATAGTAGTTTACTGTTAAAGGTTCTCATATACAAGTGAATTACCTAGAGATTTTCTTATGATGTTAAATTACGCACATGCTAGAAGATTTTCCCTGCCGTGTCTCTTTAAGTGTGACAGTAATCAATGACTGTATGTAAGAGCATCTAATCTGAAAAGTTTGTGACAATGGTGTTTGAAAATATCTGTGTTCTCTTGAGAGACAGTTTTACGTTGCTTTATATATTAAAACTACCATTTTGATAATGCTGATCATGTTGAGGGAATGTTGTCAATGAACCATTTTTTCTTACATCCTATTTTCTCACTATTGCTTTATGAACCTTTTTTTAACCTTTTGTTCCACTATGTTTAACTTGCATTCTTCATGTAAGAAAAGAAATGTACAACTAATTTTCAGCTTGTTATCACCCTCTAGTGTGTTGTAGAACCTAAAAGTAATAACAAATTCTTTACTGCTTAGTTAAAAGGAAGCAAAGAAGTTCTCTTATAATCATGTGTATTCGCCGTTTGAAGATTGAAGTTTTGAGCAAGGATAAGAACTCTTTTATGACATCTGTCTGCAAATATCACTGCAGTATTGAAGCAAGCAGGTTGAAGAGGATATCAGGATATCCTAAAGTATAGGAGTTCAATTAGTTGTCCGTCTGGCCATATAGAGGTACTGAGGTACAGTGCAAAACTTGGTTTGTCATTTTGTGTTCTGTACTACTTTCATCTCCATAGAATATTAGATCAGAATTTTTTGCTTTTCTATTTTGTTATACATGCTGTATTATAGACCTTCCCCTTTTTCTAGAATGGGATATGTGCCTGGGGTGTGACATATATAGTAATTCATTAATGAATGTTGTCAATTTCACTGTCAAATCTCATCAAACATCTTCCAGAGCAAGGCTGCAATGTGTTGTTGGGAAACTCATCTTCCCCAAGAGTCATAGTTATGAAATTTCCCCTCAGCAAATTAATTCATATTGACTAGGATTTGTGTATTGCATGTTTTTGGCTCCTTCTGGATCTTACTGACCAGGTTTTTACATTAGGCTCAGTAATATATGGATTTGCTGTGCTAAAATCCATGTTCACCCTGAACAATTTTTATCATGCTTCAAAAATGGCATAAGGTTTCATATGGCTTTTGTGTGCTTGCTACAAGACATCCAAATTAGGAAATTTACAAGACATCTGTTCCGACTTTCTATGGTAAACTAAGTGTCTCCAATTGTCTAATGCTTAACATTAAGGAGATTGTGTCGCCTGATACTAAAATGTGCTGTCTCATTATGGAGTGTTTTTCTGTGATGAAAACTTGCTCTTAATATTTTTGACTTATCACTTATGATTTTTTTTCTTGATGCTTTAATTATCTGTTACCCCCATCAAAGGAATCTGATATTCAACAACTACAGCAGCCTTTTTTTTTTGCAGTTTAGTATTGAATTGGGTGATTTTCTCACTATAGGGGAATTCAGCTTTAGACATACCCAAAAGTAAATTTTTTGGTGTTCAGCTGTGGAATTTTTGCCCAACCTGTTGTCGTAGGTTGGGGACTGTTATTAAATCTATAAGTTGGATCCAATTCCTCCGCTTGCATGCTTGTGCCAATTTCGGGTGCTTCTTTATTGTTCACATGATCCTATCAATTCACTCAGCTGTAAGATGGATTTTAGCTGTGTGGGATCAACGATTATATTTGATGTGTTCTCATTATGCTCACCCAGGGAATGTGTTGCATGGGATCACATCAAGTTTGAAGGCTTTTTGGAAACAACTTACATGAGATTTGGCTATTATCTAGTCTCTAGGAATGAAAGTGAGATAATATTAATGAACAGTTGTGATGTGGAGAAAAAAATGCTGTTTAAGTTTTGCTTGATCTTGCTTTATGGTGCTTCTCACAACTGATTTTAAGCATTAGGGAGGGATGTGTGGTTATCGCCTAGAGTTGTAAAGCCATTCCTTAACCCAAAATGTTGGTCCACCATCTTTCTACTTGCTTATTATGAGTGGTTGCGCCGAGCATGGTCAAACCTTATATAAGGTGTATTGTGTATGTTGTCTTCAGTACCATTTTGGTGGGTTGGACTGGTTAGGTGTGGTTGTGTTTATGATAATGTACATCCCCATTTTCGGTATTTTAGACCTATGCACATCTCCGTAAGGCAACTCCTTAACCACAAAAACTTGAGTTGTCTAAGGTCAAACATGGTTTGGCCAGTAAATGTTAAATTGGTTTGAATCAATTTTAATTTTTTTTGCATTTTCTTATGTACATGTTAACACAATTTTTGGTAACTACATACTCAAGCAATTTTGATTAAAATATAGAAACTCGGATTCACGAAGTCATTTTTATGTGAATGCTTCTAAACACAATTTGAGTTACATTTAATTTACTTTTAACAAAACCTGAATCATTTAAAATTGAATTAATTTTGTAGAATCATTTAAATATCTAATTACTTTTATAGAATTGAACATTGAACAACCAGGGACAACTATTAACAAAAAATAAAGACAGCGTAGTTAACATCAATTTCTCAAATCAATCAAATTGTTTGTTCTACTCCCTTTGTACAATAATGAGTGATTTATTTGTAAAATATAATAATTTCAAAATGGAAGTATTACTTAATTTTCAATGCAATATTAATTACTATTTTTAATTTTACACTTTAATTAATATTACTTTAATCATTCTCAACCAATATTTGATAAAGGGTATTTTAATAATAATATTATTCTCTTCTTTTTATTTATACACCTTTTGTCACTCATTTGTAAAATAAAATTGTTTTAAAATGAAGAATTTTCCTTAATTTTCAAAGCAATATTACTACTATTTTAATTTTGCACTTTAATAATGCGACTAGTTATTAGATTTTAGCATTGGTAGTTCTTTAAAATTTATGAACCAAGTATACTTTAACAGGTACGCTCTAACGGATAAATAAATTAAAAATAAAATATTCTTTTTAATTCTTTAACTTTATTTTTTAATGATCTAATTTGGTCTCTTAAATTTTAAAAAGTTTGATTTTATCTTTTAATTTTTAAAAAAGGAACACGTTAATCTTGTTGTTAGGTCCGTTATTCAAAGTCAAAAAAAGGTCTAATTCATATAGACGTGAAAATAACATTAATAAAAAAAATTGAAATTAAATATTTAGAAATCACTTAATATGCAAAATCACTTATGGCATAGACAAAAGGATATTGAACAAATCCTAGAAGAGAGACTTTGCACGAAGATGAGAAGGAGATGAGATGATTTTCTAAATTGATAGTTTTTCAAGGCATAATTAAAGGTGATATCAAAGAAGAGAAGTGAAGACGCTATTAAAGACACTATTGTTGAGTATGTGTTAGTAGATATTTCCACAAATTCATTTTGCAATTGGTATTTGTGGTAGTTTTAGGGTTTTTGTCTTTTTCAAATGTTATATGTATTAGACTTGAACTATGCATTTAGTTATTTTAATGTTTAGGGTCTTAAAATATTTTAATTTTTAGGGTTGTCTTTTTCAAATTTTATCTGTATTTATAATAGGGCACAATTTAATTTCAAAATTGAATTGAATAGGTCAAAATGGACAATATTTACATTTAAAATTCCATCACAGTAGTGAATTTATTGATGATGAATTAAGTGTATATGAAAGAGGGCTAGTTAATAATTTGAAAATAGATGTTGACAAGTGGAGATTTTATTTTAATTGGTAAGTGTACTGAAGGAGTTTGGTTAAATAGATTTTGAGATAATATATTATAAAGACCCGCATTTGGTATGAATGTTTTGCTTGACGATAAAGGTGCATTAGAAATTATTGATCTTTATAGGATGCATGTAAGTGTTAATTATGACATTGTAAATGAGGAGGAAGAACAGCTTGATCTTTATAGGATGCATGTAAGTGTTAATTATGACATTGTAAATGAGGCGGAAGAAGAGCTTGATAAAATGTTTGAAGAAATAATTAGTGGAGAAGCTGAGTTGAAGGAAGCTGGTGATATACTGGCAGGTGATGTTAAAAAAAATTAATTATCTGAATTTTTTTTTCCATTTAAACACTATAAGCAGTAAACCGTTCAAAAACTTTGGTAACACTTGAAAAGAAGTACATATATTACTAACGTCAAAGAAACTGTAGGCTCAAATAATTGCAACTCGTGATATTCGATTTATTGACTTTTAAAGGGTTGAAATTTTGAACATTAGTTGACATAAGACTAATTCTAACAAAGAAAACTGTAGGCTAACTCTGCACGGTCAGCAGCTAAACTATACTGTATCATTATTTTAGAGCACATTTGTCTTGGTAAAAGTATAAAATGTGGGTTCAACTTTTACATAATCTTAGCTGAAAATTAAACTTTACCTCATAATTATAGATTGTCCATTGAATATATATATGCCAGACTATACACTTTTGCTCTCACTCCTAACGTCACCAAAAAAATAAGACTTGAATTCAACAAGAGAATGCTCTAATAAGTTACACTTGTCCACAGGTTTTATCTTCAACATTATGAGGTATGGTTTGAAGAATGCTCCAATACTTAGTTTGTACGTACCTTAGGTTATGAATCTGAACAATGACTATGGCTGCTTTGAAGAATTTGTAGTCCTGGCATGTAGAAAACAGCTCTACTACACATTTGGGCAAGTTGTTTGCTTGGAATGGATCAAGCGCAAACTAAAAATCACAGCATCAATGAAGATGAAGAACATTGATGAGAAATCACAAATCTTAAGGTCGTGACTAACAAGGAAATCTAGTTCCATCCCATCTACCACATTCTAGCACGGGTAGAAATTCAGTAACCTTGGAAACCCAACAGGTTTGTCAGTATTGGCGAGTAATTTTTTATCATGACATCAACGTCTGACCTAGAACAAATGTAACGAGACTTAACTCAAGGAAGAAAATTGTGTTGATAAGAGTCCGGTCCACTGTCCATCCAAATATAGTGATTCCTCCTGGATTTGACTGCAAGTACATTACTGCATATTCAAAAGGAATCAATAAGGATGAGATCCATACATGTACAGCTTGAACTCAAGTGTTTCACGAGATTCAGCATGACTGCCAAAGATCAATATGAATAAAAATTGAAGTCATAATAACACCTAAGCAAGAAAAATTAAGAGAACTAATCTGAACATAAAATAAGAAAAATTAACTACTTCAGTGAAAGGGCAGTAGTTAATTGATATTTCTATAATTTTATTTTTTGCCATTAATTAGAACTTGTAAAACTCACAGGTTTTCAGATAGAAATTGGTTTATTTACATACCGAAAGCTTGCCTCTTGTGATGTGAGGACATATAAGAAACCAATTGGGTATTTACAGCCATTCCTCCAAAATCCAACGACTCCAGATCACTTTCAGAATAGTCTATCTGTATTGAGTTTAAATGGTTTGCAACCTCGAGGCTCCCAGCACTTGCGGAGCTTCTCATTTGTGAAGTATCAGAAGACGTGCATGTTGCTATGGCATGCCACCGGCTTGCAAGCGAAACAACGCCTTGAGCTCTATGAGAAATTCTTGTTGCTGCGTGAAGACAGATAATGATACCAACCACCTGAACAAGTGTGGATACCTGAAGAAAAAAATGGACGGT